CTCTCTCTCTCTCCCTCTCTTACGAATAGTAATTAAAATCTAATAAATAGGACATTCATTGTGCGCTTCTTTTTGTTTAAATTGCTATTTTATAACTGATACTGAATTTAACCCTCATTTTCATTATGAATAGACATTGAATTTCATTATTTTATGTCTTATCTGCGGGTCGTTTAGAGTTTGAGTTTAATTTAAAAATTTAAAAATAAAACTTAATGTAACTTAATAAAACACATTTAAAGTCGAATATTACATATGTTTTATTAATTGATTAATATTTTTAAGCTAATGTGATTTATTGTTAAAATTTCAATCCATTTTAACTAAATACACTAAAAATCAAAGTTAATTTACATAACAATAGGCATTTAATTAGAGAATTAACCTAGAATTATTTTATATACATATAATAGTAGACATGAATAAAAGCCTAAAAACAAAGAAAGCGTTTAATGTTTACATAAATGCAGAATAAATAATACAAGAATTAAGAGTCAAAACTCATTGAGTGGAGCCGTATATGAATTGTGTTTCAAATGTACAGTAAATGTGTGTTTTCTTATTCAAGTAATTACTCGCTATTATTGTTTAATACAATACCGATGGGAATGAATAAAGTCTTATAAAGGCTATTGTCTGTAAAAGTAATGAATTGAATGGCAAACACATATCATTTAAGTGTTAAAAATAATACACTGTGTTATCAATCGGTGGAGAATGTAATCATAAGAATCGACACAAACAGTGAATGCAATGAATGACTGGCAAAGCGAAGGACACGACGAAAAACACACGAAAACAGTTTTGAGGACTCGTTTATAAGTTGGGAATAAGAGTCAAATGATGTAAGCGTTTGAGTGTATGGTTTAGGTATGGTATGAATGGTTGGGCGGAATCGCACAGTGAATGGGTGTCGGAGTGGAAGAAAAATTCAAGTTTGCAGAAAATCCCTGAAAACTATACGACTATTTTCATCGCTTACTCGCGTCTCATCTCATGTGAAGACGATTTTCTCTATTGATTTTTTCCTCATTTTCTCTCTGTTTGTCTTTAGAGACGGTTCAGTGTATTCTCCTTTCTTTCATCACATTTTCTTTTAACGCTTTTAACGCTAAAAATATACTCTTTTATTCATTCTCGCGAAAGACGATCAAAAGAGTAAACAATTCTCTCGTTTTGTATAGTCTTTTACATTAAGTTTTCATTCAGTTATGAAGTATTTGTTGGTTTTTGTCTCCTTTTTATATTATTGTCATAATTTGGTTAAATGTCAAAAAAGCACAGAAAATGTCAAAATAGATGTCTATTATGAGACCCTATGCCCGGACTCTATTCAATTCATTCGTCAAAAGCTATTTCCCGTGTTTGGTAAGATCGGCGAAATAATGGACATTAATCTCATCCCATATGGAAAGGCAGAGGTTTGTTATTATTAATTTGTTAACCATTTTGTTATACATTAATATTTAAAATTCAATACAAAACTAAAATTATATGAAAGTAACTTTAGTAATATAAAAATATGTAAAATTTTCTATTTCGAGATAACATTTATTAAAAAAAGGACAAAAATAGCCAAACAGAGCATAAAATGTTCATTTTGTTGGAATTAAAATAAAAATATAAATAATTTTGATTTATTCATAAATTGTATAAAATATAACAATTGATAATAAAAGCTAAATTGTGTATTGATTTGTGTGACGGATAGCACACACAATACAGAGAAGACGTGGAGATCTACTGTCATCACGGGTCCAAAGAGTGTGAGGGAAATACCATACAGTCGTGTGCTATTAAATATTTGGACAATAATATGACAATTGTGTTGCCATTCGTTAATTGTATGGAAAATCGGTTCTACGGGCGCTATAGACCTCATATCAGCACAATTGCCAACGAGGTATACATTCAATCAATTCATTACTTTTTGTTAAACCCAATTTCCATTTCATTTAATTTGTAAATACTTTCCCAACAAATGATTTTTTCAATGAAGTTATAATAGAGTATTATTTCCTCATATCTGTGATTGAGTTTAGAAATCAAATGAAACGCCTTTTGTATTGAATTGATTGAGAATTAAGACAATTCAGTTTTTATCGTTTAAAAAACATTAACTTAAATGAGTTATACTTACAAAACACACTATTTTGATTTATATTTCCTTTAAAATTCATTTTAATCTCAATTAAAATGTTTGATTTAAGCGGTCGGCGGATATTTCTTTGAGAAATGTTTCAAATTATACGAAATATTTAATATTAAGATTAGTAGAAATGATACCCATCACAAGGTATACATCAAAACTCTTATAATCATATAACTCGTTAACACTTAGACGATTAAATTTAAGCCATAACGCAATCTGATAGACATTATCTCATTATATACACCATAAAAACATTTACATAATTGCGTTGAGAGATAATAACCGCAACTCTTTTGAAAATGTAAAAATTATAATTACTGTTAGCTTTGAAAGTCTTAAATAAGAAGTTAGAGTACAATAACCTTAAAATTATTTATTCAGTATATTTTGATAAGAATAAATATTTTTTGAAATAAATATTTTTGCCACAAAACTCACCGCAAAAATTGTTTTTCTCTTAATTTGCAAAGTGTGCGATAAATCACGGCATAAATTACACACAAATCCAAAGCTGTTCGTCAAGTCTTGAGGGGAAGAGATTGCACATCAAGAACGGCGAGAAAACTCAACGTCTTTCACCAAAGCTCACTTTTGTGCCCTGGGT